GGGCTCTTTACATATGGAGGACCATATATATTCAGGGACAGAGCAGCTCCAAAGCAAAGTTGCCCTTGATCTGATATCTTCTCGTGAAAATGTGAACATGCATATCAGCCTTGGGCTTAGGGGAAACACAAGGAGTTCTCCTGTCCTGCCCCAAAGTCTCCAAGAAAAAAAGAGATTCTCTGAAACCAAATTAGCAAAACGTACAGAATCTGTGAGGCAAGGTGTCCACAGAGAGGCCAGCCTAGCTCAATGGGCATCTGCCATGTGCCAGTGCTCTGTGGGAGGTTCCAGGCTTTAAGTTCTTAAGTGCATGACCATGTTCAATGGCTCACAGGTGGCTTGTAAGGGTAGTGACAGGTTACAGTCCCCCACTGGACCTTGCCACCTCCCTAACCCAAAAGGAAGCTGGGAGAGGTAGGTGGTCTGTGGTCCATCACTTCCCAGGAGGTGATGGGAGCCACACCACAGCCTTGGCACATCTGTGCTCCCACCTGCCCCATTTGACAGTTAAGAAACAAAGACCTGGGGACCAGGGAGTGTGTCTGAGTCACACAGCTGGCTGACGGCAAGGCAGGGATCAGAATCCTCCCTCTGCTTCTCACATCGGATGCCAGAGCCTGGTGAAGTGAGGTCTGTGGTACAGCCTGGTCAGGTTTCCTGGAGGAGTGGGTCTCACTGATCTGCACCTCCCAGCCTTTGGGTCCTTGCCTGACCCCCACTCAGGGCTAGGCTCTGGGTTTGGGCTTTAGGGGGTCCTGGTGATGAATGCGACATTCTGGTGCTTGGACCTGTTGAGTCCAAGTCTGCTCCTGGGAGGGGGGCTCCAAGGGGTCACACCAGCTGTCCTGACCTCTCAGGTCACTGTGCTGCACAGAGAAAGAGGTTCACCAGCCCAGGCTAGAGGAGCAGGAGGGACAGGGGCTGTGGAAGTGGGGACAGGCAGCTTAGAATGCCTTCGCTGCAGGCGGTCCCCAGGCAAGGCTGCCAGGAAGGCCCTCTGTGGTGGCAGGGACCAAGGCCTAGCACCCAGGATACAGCCAAGCTCTTACCCCTCTAGGGAGAGGCCCAACGGCCATCACCGTCTAAGCTCAAGGGTAGCAGGGCTGGGAAGGGAAGCCAGGGCACCCCCACTTTCTGGCCACTGTATCTTTCTTTCCTGCTCTTCTCCCTTCTCTCTGGAGCACCCACAGCTGCAGTGTGAAGCAGTGCTGTGGTCCCAGTTCCTAGGGCATGCGCCCATTGAGGACAAGTCACTCCTTGTTCATGCTGTGTCCTTCCACCCATGGGAAAAGGTCTAGGGCTGACAAAGCCAATGTATGTGTGTGTGTTGGGGGAGGGGAGGGTAGGATGGACCTGAATGTCTTAGGGTCCTTGGAGGCTTGTGTGGGACATGGCCTTGGCTGAGGTAGCCCAGAGGCCTGTCAGAGGGTATAAGCAAGAGGACACAGTGAGACCTCATTCCTGGAGGTCTTGGCAGTGGCTGTACTATGGAGGCAGCCCTGGCTGGGAATTGGGGAAGAATGGGGGCAAGGGGTGGTGCACTTTGAGGCTCTTTGACTCCTGAGAGTTCACGAACCAATGGCATCTGTTCATATCTTTAGGGTCCATTGTGGGGTCTTGGGAAACTGACAGAGCAGAGACTGGCCAGTCAGGAAGGGTGGGCTGGATGCAGTTGCTCCAGCTGCTCTGTGTCAGGGAGAGGAGGGGCCAAATAAGGTGGGCATACCCCTACCTGGTGGGGAGAGACAACTGGGCCAAGCTAGAGACTCAGGGTCCTCCTAAGTCCCTCTTCTCCCTTTCCTCCATGGCCTTTAGGAAGGCTGCTCACCCAGCCTCCCAGGCACACCGGGCCCCACAGCATTGACAGCCCGGACAGCTGGGGCTGGGCTCCAAATCATGCACCTGGGCTTCCTATGGGTGGGAAACCTTTCTACCAAGTGCAAACTGTGCCCCTCCTCTCGTGTTCTGTGTACCCCAGCCATGTCCCCCCACCTTCGGGACCCTTGTAAGCCATCAGCCCCTGGTTAGCCCTCCTGCTTTCCTAAGGCTCTCTGGAAGGACGCAGAGGCGGGTGGCTTGTGTGAGGCTGGCAGCAACTGCATGGATCCAGCACAACTACATGCCCTGTGCTTGGCGCCAGTCCCTTTCCCCCCTGGAGAGCTTTGGGAGCTGGTTGACAATGGGGCCCAGGGCCTTCTTTCCTCTCCTGCTTTTTTGGGGGGGAAGACTGGTGCCCACATTTCAGGCCCTCACTTGTGGGCAGGTGTCAGTCCCAGGAATGGGAAAGCAAGTTTCAGAGAGCCTGAGGCTGGGATGGTAGGGTGGACCTGGGCTGGGGAAGTCCTGGGTTATGGTAGCACTGAGGCCTGACCTGGAGGTGATGGCATTGTCTGCTCCTGTTGTGTCTGGAGGATGAAGTGATGTATTGGTACCTCCAAACTAGTCATTCACCGACACATTCTACTAAAGTTTTCTGAGATGAAGCAGCAAAGGGGACATGCACGGGAGGCGGGGGTGGGGGTGGGGGTGGCAGCGGGGGAGGCCATGGAGGGCCTCCTCATACACTCTGAGGAGCTGGGTTTCATGCAAGGTTTTAGGTAGGACCTGAGAAGGTTCAGATGCCCTTTGATTCTGTTTTGCAGTTGTTGTTTGTTAGTTTGAATAATTTGTATTGATTTCAGAGAGGAAGGGAGAGAGAGAGAGAGACAGAAACATCAATGATGAGAGAGAATCACTGATCGCTGCCTCCTGGAGGCCCCCTACTGGGGATTGAGCCCCCAACCCAGGCATATACCCCTGACCAGAATTAAACTTGGGATCCTTCAGTCCACAGGCCGACACTCTATCCACCGAGCCAAACCAGCCAGGGCTGTTGTTTGTTTTTGAGGTGAAATTCACATAATATGAAAACCATTATTTTAAAGTGAACAATTCAGTAGCATTTAGTATATTTACAGTGTTGTGTAACCATCACCTCCATCAAGTTCCAGAATACTTTATCTCCCCAAAGGGAACCCTGTTCCCATTAGCAGTCATTCCGCATTTCCCCTTACCATCTCCGGACAGCCCCTAATCTGGTTTCTGTCTCTATGAATTTGCCTGTTTTGGACATTTCATATAAATGTGATCATACAACATGTGGGCTTTTGTGACTGGCTTCTTTCATTGAACATCATATTTTTCATCTTTGTCGACATTGTAGCGTGAATCAGCTTCATTCCTTCTTAATATTCAATTGTGTGCACATACCACATTTTATCTACTCATTTGTTGATGGGCATTTGGATTATTTCCACTTTCCTTTTTAAAACTTAAAAAAAAAATTCTAAAATGGTCTTTGCCTTCTGAATCCTCATTTGGAGGTACAGGAATCTCTTGTCCCCATCCCCCCAGCAGCTGCATCCATAGGTAAATCCATCTTCTTACAGCAGATACTCTTGGTTTTGTGGCTTCCCCACAATTTGCTGTTTATCCTGCATTGACCTGGAGGTGACAGGAAGATCCCATGCGGCCTGCTGCTTCCCTGAACAGGTTCAGATTCTGCTCTATCCTCTCACATCTCTGAGGCGATGGATAAGCTGCTCAGCCTGCTTCTGTCCCTAGAAGATGGGACTGAGGGGACCTTTCCCTTTGATTGGGCAGCCAGAGAGTGTAGTCCGCAGCCAAATTCTTCTGAAAACGGCCAGGGTGACATTGTGGTCATGTGGCTGCCCTTCCCCGTAGTGCTGGGCACAAGAGGTATGCTGGGCAGGTGTCAAAGCAGCTGGGCCCCTCTGGAGGTGGCACCCTGTTTTCCCCCCCCCCCCCCCCCTCCATGAGAGGCTGGCCAGCAGCACCCGTGTTCTCAGGGCCTAGCACTCCTGAGAAATTGCAGGTCAAGTTCCTCCTCCATGCTCACAATGGGCTCTGTGCCGGCACCCAGCGTCTTAATCCCACCCTCTGTAGAGGAGAGATAAGTGTACCCATGGGGGCAGCTTGCTGGGGCTTAGGGGACAGTGGTCACTCAGTGCAGCATTCAGGAAACACGTTTAGAATAAAAAATAAGGGAATAGAGTTTTTAAAAGGAGAGGTTGGAAGCAACCCAAATGTTCATAGGTAGTTGAAGGGATAAAGAAATTGTGCATTCATACATTCACATGGCGGAATAGTACTCGGCCATAAAAAGGAGTGAATCTCTGATACATGCTACAATGTATGAACCTTGAAACATGATACTGAGTGAGAGAAGCCAGACACAGAAACCACAAAATACTACTTGTTGTCTGATTCAATTTATATGAAATGTCCAGAGCAGGCAAACTAATCCAGAAAGTGGATTAGTGGTTGACAGGGGATGGGAAAAGGGGATGAGTGAAGCGGGGATAGGAGTGACTGCTAATGGAGATAGGGTTTCTTTTTGGGATGATGAAAATGTTCTAGAACTAGATAGAGATGGTAGTTGCACAATATTGTGAATATACTAAATGCCACTGAATTGTACACATCAAATGGTGAACTGCATGCTATGTGAATCTGACTTAAATGAAGAAAAAAGAGAAAAGGGCAGGTGCTTGGCCAGTGTGGCTCAGTGGTGGAATGTTGACCTATGAACCAGGAGATCATGGCTCTATTCCTGGTCAGGGCACATGCCTGGATTGTAGGCTCGATCCCCATGCAGGAGACAGCCAATCCATGATTCTCTCTCATTGATGTTTCAATCTCTCCTCTCTCTTCCTCTCTGAAATCAATAGAAATATATATTTTTTAAAAAGGACATGTGGTTTCCTCAAGTCCTGTCCGATACCCTGCCCATATCATAGGTAGCAAATGGCAGTTTCTGGCCTGAGTGGTGGCAGGGCTTGGCCAGGTTTCTACTCTACTGCCAAGGGCAGGTGGCAGTCAGGACCCAGGTCTTGTTTCTACTTCTCTGGGGCTGATTCTGGTGATTTAGCCCATGCCTGGGGCAGCTTCAGAGCCTGGGCGAGGCCTCTGAGCCTGACACCCATCCTGTTCTCCCACAGCATGGCTGATAAGAATGGAGCTCTCAAGTGCACCTTCTCTGCACCCTGCCATAGCACCAGCCTCCTGCAGGGCCTGGCCACACTCCGATCACAGGGCCAGCTCCTGGACGTTGTGCTCACAGTCAACAGGGAGACCTTCCACGCGCACAAGGTGGTCCTGGCTGCCTGCAGCGACTACTTCAGGTGAACACAGGCCCGGGGGGTGGGCTGGAGAGTGCAGATTCTTCTGAGAGGGGCAAGTTCAACTCTAGCGAGGGAGGGATGGCATTGAGGGAAGGTGGCTGGTGTTGGGCCAACATTCAGTAAACCTACCACTTTTCCCAGGTTTGCAACCACTCAGATTTTTTGGGGACATTACACTGCCCAGAAGAGCATACGTGGGGGACAGAGTGGCCTGTGGGTGCTCAGTTAGCAGCTTCTGTCCTGAGGGGTGGCAGGGCTTGGCCGGGTTTCTGCTGTGTCTTTGACACCTGTGGGAGCTGGCCTCAGGCCCCAGCAGGGAGTGGCACATGTCCCTGCCCTTGTGTGCCTGTCCTCAGGCCGAAGGGCAGGAGGGACTCCCAGGCTCTGTTGCAATCCCCATGTGACAGGCGAGACCTTGCTGAGCGGCTGGGTCAGTCTGCTGCGAAGACCCTTTCCGAAGAGTGTCAGCCGGGGGCTGATTCTTGGCCCTGCTTTGCCAGCGGTGACTGTCAGAGTCCCAGCCCAGGTGCGCGCCGCAGGCTGCACGCCCCGAGGCTAGGTGTCCAGCCAGGGCGCCCCCGCCCGCCCGCCCTGCGGGCTCAATGAGGCCCTTCTGGGGAGCTGGAGAAACCAAGCCATCTGGGGCGCTGCTTCTATTTTTATTCTGGATTTGGGGACGGACAGGCCGCCCCAGCCAGAAATGCCCTTTAAAGGCTCCTTTGCGCTGGCACTGCAGCGGCAAGGCCTTAAAAGGCAAAGCTCCCTCCCGTCGCGATGACTGTTTCTGCCTTCGACAGGCCGATGGGACTCTCGGGGACAAGAAGGGGTAGGGCCCGGGGGCTGGCAGAGCGCTGCTCCGGGAAGCGATATGGCCCTGCTTTGTGGAGTGCTGGGCAGTTGTTCGTTGATGGTCCCAAGGCAGCATCAAGCTCAGCTGCTCCCGCTCTGGGGCCTAAGCCTGGCCCATACTAGCGTAGTGACTGGGTGACTAGCGTAGTGACTGGGCCATTCGTTAGGCGAATGGCCAGCGGGAGTTCCCTTCCATCAGGCATCCGTTACGTTTATGATGTATGCTGATGGCAGTCACAATTACGATGAAAGACCAGCCCACCCTCTGAGAGGAGCCTCTTATGCAACATCTTTTGGAACCTCCCATCCACTTCTAGCAGGCCTGGGACTCTTACCCCTTTTCCTGGAAGGGCCCCTCCTGAAAGCTGTGGGGAAGGAGGGGCTGAGACCCAGGTCTTGTGCCCTAGAGCAGGACAGCCCAGCTGACCGACCTGGAGCCATTCCTGGGGAGCGTGTAGGGGGTGTCTTACAGCAGGCTGAGACTCCGGTGAGTCATTTTCAGGGGCTCCCTGACTACCTGGACCTTTCTCTGGACATATCAGTGACCCCAGTGGGGGGCCCCAATAGGCACTCCAACCTGAGACCCTCATCCCCTTCCCATCCCTGTGTGACAGCAGCTGAGGTTTGGGCAGGGGAAGGTGGAGCCACCTGTTCAGGTGAGTGTGCTGGAGAGGTACTGGCCTCTGTGAACCATGATGTGTATTCCCTTGGAGTCCCCGCTGTATTTCCTGAGCTCACTGAGAAACTGGTCTTCATGGCTGGGCACTGATATGGGTTGGAAACTTTTCCCCAGAGCCAAAGCTAAAATTTAATGTGGCAGGAGCACAGCTACATTGCCATGTCATGAGTGGGGTCAGGGAGAAGGAGGGAGGGAGGGACTTGGCCCCCAGCCTCAGAACCAGCCTACCCCAGTGCTGTATACATCTGGGTGAGGTTGGGTGGGGCCCCATGAGAGAGGCACAGGGTGCTCTTGGTAGGAAGATGCATGGCTTGGGGTGGATTGAAAACCTTTCATTTTTTTGCGTGTTTTTAATGCGTACCTGGCCTGCTTTCCCCTGGTGGGCAAAGCCCCGCTTGCAGTGTTCGGGGCCAGGCCATCCCCGTGTCTTTTGGTGCCCTGAACCCTCATGCTGTGTTTCTGACCCTCAGGGCCATGTTCACAGGCGGCATGAGGGAGGCAAACCAGGACATCATTGAACTGAAGGGCTTGTCAGCGCGTGGCCTGCGACACATCATTGACTTCGCCTACAGTGCCGAGGTGACGCTGGACCTGGACTGTGTGCAGGATGTGCTGGGCGCGGCCGTGTTCCTGCAGATGCTCCCCGTGGTGGAGCTGTGTGAGGAGTTCCTCAAGGCTGCCATGAGCGTGGAGACCTGCCTGCACATTGGTCACATGGCCACCACCTTCAGCCTGGCCTCACTCAAAGAGTCGGTGGATGCCTTCACCTTCCGGCATTTCTTGCAGATCGCAGCGGAAGACGATTTCCTGCAGCTGCCTCTGGAGCGCCTCGTCTTCTTCCTGCAGAGCAACCGCCTGCAGAGCTGTGCCGAGATCGACCTGTTCCGAGCCGCTGTCCGCTGGCTGCAGCATGACCCTGCGCGGCGGCCACGTGCCAGCCATGTGCTCTGCCATATCCGTTTCCCACTCATGCACTCTTCTGACTTGGTGGACAGTGTGCAGACGCTGGACCTCATGGTGGAGGACGTGCTGTGCCGCCAGTACCTGCTGGAGGCCTTCAACTACCAGGTGCTGCCTTTCCGGCAGCACGAGATGCAGTCCCCGCGCACGGTTGTGCGCTCCGATGTGCCCTCGCTGGTGGCCTTTGGGGGCACGCCCTACACTGACAGTGACCATGCCGTCAGTAGCAAAGTATACCAGCTGCCTGAGCCAGGAGCCTGCCACTTCCGCGAGCTCACGGAGATGGAGGTGGCCTGCAGCCACACGTGTGTGGCCGTGCTGGACAACTTCGTGTACGTGGCCGGGGGCCAGCACCTGCAGTACCGCAGCGGTGAGGGTGCGGTGGACGCCTGCTACCGCTACGACCCTCACCTGAACCGATGGCTGCGCCTGCAGGCCATGCAGGAGAGCCGCATCCAGTTCCAGCTGAACGTGCTGTGCGGCATGGTCTATGCCACGGGTGGCCGCAACCGGGCCGGCAGTCTGGCTTCCGTTGAGAGATACTGCCCACGGCGCAACGAGTGGGGCTACGCCTGCTCGTTGAAGCGCCGCACCTGGGGCCACGCAGGCGCCTCGGCTGGGGGCCGCCTCTACATCTCAGGCGGCTACGGCATCTCGGTGGAGGACAAGAAGGCGCTGCACTGCTATGACCCGGCAGTCGACCAGTGGGAGTTCAAGGCACCCATGAGCGAACCCCGTGTGTTGCATGCCATGGTGGGTGCTGGCGGCCGCATTTACGCCCTGGGTGGCCGCATGGACCATATGGACCGCTGCTTTGACGTGCTAGCCGTAGAGTACTATGTACCCGAAACAGACCAGTGGACCAGCGTGAGCCCCATGAGGGCCGGCCAGTCGGAGGCTGGCTGCTGCCTGCTGGACAGAAAAATTTATGTTGTTGGGGGCTATAACTGGCGCCTCAACAACGTGACAGGCATCGTGCAGGTATACAACACCGAGACAGACGAGTGGGAGCGCGACCTGCACTTTCCCGAGTCTTTTGCAGGCATTGCTTGTGCCCCGGTCCTGCTGCCCCGGGCTGGAAGCAGGAGGTAGCTCCCGGGATGCCCCCCCCCCCCCCCCACACACACATCCATGACCTGGCTGCATGCTGTTCTTGCCAGGGGTTTGGCGAGCACGTGTCCCATAGAGAACCTTGGGCCCCCTCCCCGTGGGCTGGCTGTATAGTCCCGTTGTGTTGATAAGACTCCTTCCTAGGGTCCTCCCTTCCCAAAGCAGATCTTGGCTCTCTGCCTGCCCAGGGAGCCTCCCAGTGAAGAGGCCGATGTGTTGTGGCAGAAAACTTGAGCCTGAGGCAGTTTCCTCGTCTGCACAGGGTCCTCACTCATGGGTTGGAATAGTGGGTCTCTTTGGGGTATTGTTATGCCCCACTTCTCCCATCCCTCAGCCCAGCAGTCTCAGATGTTCAAATGCGGGCTCATTAATGTCAGTCCAAATCCATACTATGCCACTCTCCCCATCCCAAGTTTCTTGCCCAAGTTTCTTGTGCATGTGTACTTTGCTTGTTTTTGTTAATCCTCACCCAAGGATATTTTTTCCATTGATTTTTAGAGAGTGGGAAGGAGGGAAGAGAGAGAGAGGGAGAAACATTGTTGTGAGAGAGACATATCGATTATTTTTTTTTTTTTGTGCATGCACCCCAACCAGGGCTAGGGAACGAACCTGCAATCCAGGTATGTGCACTTAACCAGGAACCGAAACCACAACCTTTTGGTGCATGGGCTGATTCTCTAACCACTGAGCAATTCTGGCCAGGCACACACATGCATTTTTATCGATAAACTAGAGGCCCAGTGCATGAAGAGGAGTGTCCCTCAGCTGTGCCTATGCCCTGTGCTCAGGGCCTATCGGGGCTTTCCTTCCCCTGGCTGCCAGCAGCTGGCCTGCCCCCGCCGCTGTCACTACTTGCCATCTGTGGCGCTGCCCCCCACTGCCCCTCCCCTCCCTGTATCCCTCTGCAGGCGACAAACATGGAGTGCGATTGCTTAGCTGGCCTGGGCCTCCCTCTGCGGGGCGATGGGAGGCCCCTGACCAATCACATTGCACCCGTCTTGGCTGGCCTGGCTCCGGTGCGTGTCATAGTACGGTCATCCAGAAGGTCACCCGGACTGTCGTTCTGCTGTTTGGTTGATTCGCATATTACGCTTTTATCATTATATATAATTGCACCCCACTTCTCTGGAGCTGGAGGGGCTCAGAAGCACCCAACTTGGATTGATGACCAGAGGACAGTTCTGTCTCCCCAGCAGCCTAAGCTGCTGAGTGGGAGAGGGCCACCCAGGAGGGCTCAGTGTTTGTTCCTCTTCCTGTCCGTGGTCTGACCACCTCAGGGTGTTTTGCTCATTCGCTTTCAGGAGAAGAAACCACCGCTTCCAGAGCTGGTCCTCATGGATGTCAGGCCTCCACTGGGCACTGAGCCACGTGGGGGCCCCTAAGGAGAACTGGGCTGATATGTCCCTGTCCCACAGATGGAGGAGGATCCTGCCTTAGGATCCCAGTGCCTCTGCACTCCACAGGTCCGTTCAGGATTTTCATTGTATCCCCTCTCCAGCTGCACTCCCTCTGTGCCCTGTGTTCAGGGGGAATGAAGTGCCCCCTGGCCCGAGGCTACCAGCTGGCAGTCAGTAGGCAGGAGCCTCTCTCTTCAAGGGCTTCATGGCATCTCCAGCCACATTTGTTTTGGTCTCTAAATCTTTTTACTGTTGTTCCATTTTGCTTTTTTTTTTTAAGAGGCCAGTACCGCTGCCTTATAAATGGGATTTATACCCTTGGGGCAACTTAAAGTGTCTCTTCTGCTGCTAACAGACGATTGATGTCATGTTTCTGTGACCCACTCGCTGTGTAAAGAATTAACCTCATACCTTAGCAGACGTCGTCTCCTAATATTTTCCTTGTATTTAATAAAAATGTTATGGTGAAAAGATGGAGCAGGCCCAGTGCCGAGTTTGTGGAGCCTGATAGGTCACAGATTCCTCCTGTCCTCTGTGCCTTTGGGGCCCCCTCTCCCACCTCACCCTTTCCCATCCTCGCAGAGGAGCTGGAAAGGGTCCAGTCTTTAGCTCAGGGATGTGAGTGAGGGCAGCAGGAAGTGGGGCCGATTCTTCTCCTGGATGCTGGGAAGACAGAGGGCAAACTTCGTGGCCTCCGGCAACTCTCCAGGCTGTTCCGTGGGCCTGGTGGTCTGGCCCCCTGCCACCAACCAGCCTTTAGTCCTAACAGGTTCTCTCTCCATCTGCTCAGTTCTGGGGTGCAAGATTGGGTAGCTCTGGGCTGAAATGCAGGAGAGGAAGGGCAGGCCGAAAGAGCATGAAGTCATTACGCTTCCACAGGGGCCCAGGAGCTCCACGCGCTGCCCCAGACCTTGCTTTGGTGGCAGCCTCACTGACGGGCTGTACTTTGGTAGAGTCGGCCTTCTTGTTCATGTACAGCCTTCTGAGAGGGAAGGCTTCCAGGTCACCCTCAAAACATACCACAGGCCTGGTGCTCCCGTCCCGCAGGCAGGCATGGGGCCCCCAGGGTGAGGCTGAGTTGGGAGGCAGTGCTGAAATAGGAACTTGGTTGGGAACCAGGAAGGAGCCATGCTTTCAGGGGCATGGAAAGGAAAGCAGTAGTCCTTGGGGACTTACCAGAACATTCTGGCCTCTTCTCACCTCCCTAACCTGAGCTCCCCCAAGAGAACCCTTTTCTGCTAGAGGCACGGCCCCTTCAGGGGGCAGTGAGAAGCCTTTGCCAGCTACAAGTTCCCCCAGATCAGCTCACACCTCAGAACATCTTGTCCCCAATGAGCTGGCAGGGGTGCCGGTGCAGGGTGGAGGGGGTGCTGCCGTATCTAACCAGTCGATTGTGCGTAACCGTCTGGGCTGGTTCGTGGAATGTTCTCGGGGGCCCTCTACCCCTCCTTCTCATTCACCCCCGCTCCCCCCCCCCCCCCCGAAGAAAGGAAAATTATTTTTCGTATTGTAAACTTTAAACATGAAAAAGCTGTTTTTAATTTAGCAGAAACTGGCTTGAAACTTTGTGAATGTTTGTGTCCTTTGGAGAAAGGCAGAACATGTGTACCCATACACAGAGGCTTGCACACACACACACACACACACACACACACGCGCGCGCGCGCGCGCGTGCGCGCTTACTCAGGCATACCTGCACACACGTGCTTGCTCATACACAGTTGAACAAATAGCTTGTGCACATGCCTGTGGGCCAGCCTGGCCCTTTCTGTGTGGCTCCCTGAAGGAGTCTGCAGCCTATCACTCTGGAAGAGTCTTCAGCCCATCACCTTATCACTTCTTTTCACCTTTCACCCAGGGCAGCATCCCCTGTGCGTGAGGACCAAGCGCGGGGAAAGCCCGTCTCCTTCCAGATGGCCTGCTTCCCCACCTCGGGCTCCTGGGCCTCCCTCCGCACCTGGGCTGGGGTTGTGGGAAAACGCTGTCTCCGGGGACCGTGGGATGCAGGCCCGTGAGAGGCAGGCCAAGTGTGACTTCTGGGGCCTTTCAGCCAGCAAGGGCCAAAGGGGCCTCGGGGGAGCCGTGTGAGGTGGGAATCTGCCCCAGACCTGGCCAGTTTGGAAGTCTGCCCCTGGCTTTGTGTCCTGGAATGCAGCTCCAGCTCCTCTGTTCTCACGGCCCCAGAGATTTCCCTTCTCATGGTGGAGTCTCCGCGCACGGGTTTTATTAGGGGCACCTGGCCGTGTGTCCCAGGAGGCACGGCCAGGAATGTTTGTTACACAAATGAGAAGTTCTGGGTGGGGCGGTGGGAGCAGAGCCTCATCCACTTCTAGTGCCTGTGGGCACTCCCCGTGGACCCCAAGGGCAGATGGTCCACGAGGCCGTGCTCCCCACACAATCAGACCTCAGCTTACCTCTGGGCACATGCCCAGATTGTGGGTTCTATTCCTGGTCAGAGTGCAGGGAGAGGCAACTGATTAATGTTTCTCACATCGATGTTTTTCTCTAAAATCAATAAAAACATTTTTTTAAGGAAAGACCCCAGCTTAATTTCTGTGGCTGACCTGTTGCTATTCCGGCAGCCATTTCTCCCTCCTCACCCATAGGGCCTTGATTTGACCCCAGCAGCAGTGTGCCCAGCCTTGGGTGGGGGGTAATTTAGGATTTGGCTCGGCTTTTTTAAAATTTATTTATTTTATTTTATTTTATTGGTAATGCCTTTTGTGGGCATGGTTTTCAGCCTGGGCAAATCTCCCAGCTCTGGCCATGCTTTAAGGGAAGGTCTGAGGTGGGGGTTTGTGGTCATGGAAAAGGCCTTATTGCCCCCTTCAATCTCTTCATGCTTCCTGTGAGGACACATGCAGGAGTTGCTGCAGCCCTCTTGTGGCCATGAGGAGCAAGTTAAGAGAAGCACAGAGAGGCTGCCTCCGAGAGCCCTGAAATCATGAGGCCACCAGTTCTACCCTGGAACCTCTGATCTCTAGACTCCTTTTCCTGAGAGTCACAATGTCTGTACTGCTCAGGAGTCTTAGTATCTTAGATACTAGTGGCCAGCTATTCTGTTATTTGCAACCCAAACACTTAACAAAATTATAATGTAAAGGTAACAGATGCTGGGATTTCCCAGTCTTATGTAAGTCAGGGATTTTATTTGCAAACAACAGAAACGGGCCGATTTCAATAGCAAAGATGTGCTTTGGAGGGCTGTTGGGTTGCTCACAGAAGTGGCAGGAAGACTGGAAAATCAGGCTCAGAAAACAGTAAGAATCAAGGTGGCAAGGCAGCTGGGGTGATCGGCTGAAATCAGGTCAGGGGACTGACTGGTGAGGACGCTTCTGCCACCACCACAGAATCCAGATGTCTCGACTGGCAGTCATCTGCCCTTGGCACTCGGCCATAGCTGTCCCTGGTAACTGGATACTCCTGCCTTGATGCTGTTTCTTTGCATCACTTTTTCCTGAGTGGAAACATCCTATTGGCCTAGTCCGTGTCCTGTGCCAACCTAGCTGTCTGGATCCCCAGGAAAGTGAGTATGTGAGTGTGCTAGTCAGCTGCTGACAACATGTAGCAAACAACCTAACTCTCAGTGGCATGCAAAATAAATGGCTGGGCCCTGCCCGTGTGCTCAATGGTTAGAGCACTGGCCTGTGCACCAGAGTTCTGGGTTTGAGTTTCAGTCAGGGGCAAGTCTCTAGGTTTTGGGTTTGATCCCTAGATCTGGTCAGGGCACGTGTGGGAGGCAACCAATTCATGTGTCTCACATCAGTGTTTCTTTTTTTCTCTCTTCCCTCCCCTCTCCCCTCCCTCTTTTCTCTTTCTCTCTCTCTCTCCTTCCCTTCCTCCCTCTCTTCATCCATCCTTCCCTCCCCTTCACTTTCTTTTTAAAAAAATATATTTTATTGATTTTTCACAGAGAGGAAGAGAGAGGGATAGAGAGTTAGAAACATCGAAGAGAGAGAATCATCGACCAGCTGCCTCTTGCACACCCCCTACTGGGGATGTGCCCGCAACCAAGGTACATGCCCTTGACCGGAATCGAACCCGGGACCTTTCAGTCCACAGGCTGACGCTCTATCCACTGAGCCAAAAAAATCAATGGAAAAAATATCCTTGGGTGAGGGGTAACAAAATAAATAAAGAAAAAAATT